AGTTACTTAGCACCATGACTAGAACATAGTAAATACTTAATAAAATTTGCTACATTTATTACTAATAAATCAGTTCATTGCAATTATCCCAAGGAAAGATGGTAGAAGACTGGATGTAGAGATAGTGTTGCGGCAAGATAGAGCAGACTGGCAGGAATGAGTTCCTTGTCTTCAGAGCCGATCCACTAACTACCATCCATGATGCTAAATTTTAAAAAGATCTTTAAGGGCTGGGTTTGTAGTTCCACACTGGAGCATTTGCTTAACATGTGCGAGGCCCTGAGTTCAATTCCCAGCACTGCAAAGGGAGAAAAAAGAGCTAGGCATGGTGGCATGTACCTCTAATCCTATCTACAAGGAATGTTGAGTCGGCCTAGGCTGGGCAATCTACCAAGACTCTACCTCAAAATAAAAATTTTATAAGTTGTGTAGCTCAGTGGTAAAGTGCTTGCCTAGATGTGTGAGGTCCTGGGTTCAGCCACCGGTACTGCAAAATAATTTGAACTGGTAAAGATTAGCCATAATAGAATATTTATCAGTCACTTTGATATTTAAAGAAATATCATATTTTTAACTGTATTTTTTGCTGCTGTTACCTGACTAAATAACTTTCTAGGAAAAAAAGAATTATTCCCAAGGATTTTCATTAAAATTTCCTGAAAGGATCAGAGGTTCTGCCTGCCATCAGTCTTGTATGAAATTTCTTTGACAATTCAAGTGTGCTATTTCTAAAAATATACATTTTGTACATCAATTAATATTATTGGATGGCTTTTGAACTTTATAGGGCCTACCCAAAACAGAGAAGTAGCATGATACGGTGGAAGGAGTAGATTCTTTGGAACACAGAATAGTGCCATCACTAGCTGTGTGACACAGGTCACTTCATCTCTATAAATCTCACCTTCTCCATCTGTAAGACAGCAGTGTGTGTGGTGGGGCATAATTCTGAGTATTATCAGAATTAAATAAAAATGCTAACACTTTCTCTGCGCCAGATCCTCTGTGTACAAGGTGCCTGGGATACACAAATGAGTAAGGCATGGGCCTTCCTTTTTAGGAGCTAGCACCAGTGAATCATGTCATGTGGGTAGCTGGTATATAATAGATGTTCTATACATATGTATGTTGTTGAATGAGTCCATCAACAAATGAATATTTCATCTTAGTACATGTGATTTTTTTTCACTTTCCCCTACATACCCATCTTCCGTGTTGAAGGAGAAATTAAAGTATATTACATATTCTCTTTAAAATATTATTTTGAATTAGTTTTAGAAAAGTGACAAAAATAGCACGAAGAGTTGCCTTACATCCCCCCACATCAGTTCCCCAAAGTTAACATCTTATATAACCATGGAGGAGTATGGAAAAGTACCTTTCCCTAGCCAAGCCTCCCGATGTGAATACAGCGGGCTGACACCTTGATTTCAGCCTTTTCATGGCCTGAGCAGAGGACCCAGTTAAAATATGCTAAGACTTCAGACCCACGAAAATTGTAAAATATTGAGTGGTTGTTAAGTTGATACATTTGTGGTGATTTGTTAGAAGCAATAGAAAATTAATACAAATACTGTATCAGGTTTTTCTAGAATGTCTCTAAACATGGGTTTGTTGAATGTTTTCTCATGATTGGAAATGAGGCCATATATGGTTGACAGAATGCCACAAAAATAATGTCATGTCCTATCAGGGGATTTGCGATGCTCACGTGTTTTATTATTGGTGATGTTTGCCTTGGTCACGTAGCTGAATTGGCATCTGCTGGTTTCTCTGCTGTAAAGTTTTTGTAAGTTGATGTGTACTATACCTTGCAGAAGGTACTTTAACACAATGCAGACCCTGTTTCTCCCCAACCGTTTTCTAGGGCCCATTATCTTCAGCATCATCTGTGGATCTTGCTGGAAATTTTATTATTGTGGTGTTTACCTAATAGTAGTCCTCTGTTTCTTCCTCCCTTCTACATTTATTTATTGAACTTCTGCCATAAAGAACCACTATCTGTTCCCCATTCATCGCCCATTTTTCTATTTACTTGATTATTTATAGCCCTGTGACTTCATAGGTATGTTTTTTACTCCATGGATAAACCTCCTATACTATTTTTTAAATTGCTCCAGCTTAGATCATCAGGAACATTTCTCAGTATTGGCTCCTGAGTTCTTTTCACCAGGCTGCATCTGGTTTTGAGCCTTCCCTTACTTTTCGGCACTTAAAATGTTCCTGGCTTATTTTGTAATTTCCCTGCTCTAGTCCTGGAAGCAACCATTTTTCCACAGATAATTTGTGCCTAGTTTGTTGAAGAATGTTTATATCTTGGTATTAAATATGGTTGGTTTTTAAGGTGTCAGTGCTTTTAGAGCTTCTCAAAGGATGGAGCTAGGTAATATGAGTACTAATCCATACATACTTACAAATTTATATTTGTGTATTATCTGTGTACATATTTAAGTCATGAATTTTATACTAATACCTCTATTTCCAGTCTAATACTACAAATTCATTTTAGCTTTCTCTCTTTTCTTATTTATAACTTCTTTCTTCACAGTGAAAAATTCATCTACTGTCTATTTACTTATTTGTTTTAAAAATGTATGTGTGTGTGTGTGTGTGTGTGCACACGCGTGTGTGTTTTGTTTTCAGAAAAAGTGTTTTCTTCTGAAACCTGTAGCATCAATGGCACAGAATGGCCTCCAATTCCATGCTGGAAATAGGTAACCTCAACAACTTCAGTGATTTTTCATTTTCTGCCCCCTCCTGAACCCCACTCTAGTATCTACCTGGCACCTCCATGTAGACTATACGAAGATCAACTTCTCTCTCACCTAACCCAATAGTTAAAGCACATGGCCATGGTAACTGGAACCTAACATTAATCTCTGCTTTCTGGGCAGACCAAAAGGAAGGTATCATAGGGTAAAGATTTTTTAATGCTAGTGCTGGCCCCAAGGGTTTTCACAGTGGTTATTGATGACTTAGACTTCACTCTGCATCCCAGTTGATTCCAATAGGAGTGTCCATATTTGCCCACTACATCCTACTCAGACACTGATATTTAATCTTATCAGTATCCCTAAAAATACTGAGAGTAATTAATCTCTTCTTTATATCCCTCACAGACATTTTCTGTGAAAAGCAAATGAATCAGTGGATAAATATACACTTGAAAATAATGCAGTGCAATGTTAAAAGGGTCCTGGGTTGTGTCTGCAGCAAGGGGCTTTGAACAGTGCACACTAAGATGCACTTTGTCTCGTGATCCACCAGTAGTGGGAGCTCAGAGGTTGTTGCTCCTGCTGTGATCATTCTCAGTTGAGAGACAGAAGGACAGAGAGGCTGAAGCTCCTATAGTAAATGGGGTGAGAATCTCTTAAAATAGGAAGGTCAGAAACTTTGGCTATTGAAAACTTTAAAAAACACTCATTCACTCAACAGTTATTGCTATGTGTCTTGCTATGGCATGGGGAAATGAGAAGAACTACCTCTTCCCTAAGGAAATTTAGAGTAGAAAATGCAGTGAATCCCCAGAACACAGAAGACAGTGAAAGCTGTCATTTCTTTACTGGTGAGCTAGGGACAGCATTAGGGGCTTTCTACATATTATCTCATTAAATATAATCACAAAAGTTAAAAATTACTATCTTTGATAATAATGAGGAAATTAGCTATCAGAGGGGTAAAGGAGTCTGTTCAAGGTCACATATATAGTAAATGTAAGAGTCATTTACTAAACTAAAATCTAGATCTATCTGAAAGCCAAGGCTCATATTCAATTTCCCTGTACTAATAAGGTGAGAGTAACCCATTCCCTGAAGACATATTTGAGTGCCTCTCCTGCTGCAAATATTGTTTAGGGTGCTACTAATATAAAAGTGAAAAAAAAAAAAGTCCCAGCTTCATGGGGCTCATGCTATCCTGAAAAAAGACAACAAAATATTTAGTATGTCAGGTGGTGATAAATGCTGGAAAGAAAAATTAGGTAGAATAAGAAAGATGGGATGGATGAGGTTGCTATTTATAATTAGAGAGGGTTCTAATAATGTGAAGTACAATCACACCTAAAGGACACGCAGGAGCAAGAGACAGGACTGACACAAAAAAGACCTTCCTTCTTTGCCTACTGTGGGTTAAATCTGGAATAAAGGGAGTGAGGTGGGGGCGCAGGAATTCGTGGAAAGCATGGACTCGAAGTCAGGAGACCTGAATCTTACTCCAGGCGACTTATGGACAGAGGACAGATCGTTGCACGTTTAAATTTAAATTCTCTTAACTGTGAAAGAGAGTAACAGTTCGGCAGACAGCTGCCACAGAATCGGAGGCTGGGATGCATGGAATCCACGGACACCGCGCTTCAGTACGGTCCTTAAGAATAACTGGGAAAGCCTACATGAAAGCTCTCTGAAAATAACACAGGTAAAACGCGCCTGTTATCCCAGCTACTTGGCACGCTGTGGCAGAAGGATCAAGTTCGAGACCAGCCTGAATAACTTACCAAGACTTTGTTTCAAAGTAAATAAATAAAAAGGGCTGGAGATGTTGCTCAGTAGTAAAGCACTTTCCTAGCATGCATGAAGTCTTGGGTTCAGCCTCCGGTACTGCAAAAGGAGAGATAAATAAATAACATGAATAAGAGCAGGAGTCAACTTTTCAACTGAAAGGACGTCTGCGTGGGAAAATAAACGATATCCTTATTTCAGGTGCAACGGCTATCCTAAGCATTTTTTCAAAGGTGTCCCAGGCTGACATGAGAAATGAACTAAAAGAAATAAGCATAGCTTTCATAATATGCCTCTGTGGAAGATCCTTAGTTAAATTACACTGATCGTAAATTATGTCGCGTATTTTATCCAAAATAGCAAGAGGTTCTGGGATTCGCATCTTTAATTGCCACGTCCCGCCATAGTATTTTCCTTCTTGCCACGCCCCTCCACCTGAACTCCATTTCCCAACATGCTCCAGGCTAAACTAGCAGCCATTGTGACGATGTCCTTGTGACTTCTAGGAAATGTAGTTCATTTGCTCTTCAACTGCGGAAAGATCTAGGGCTGTGGACTACCACTCCCGTGAGGTAGTGCGCAGTCCCGCCCCTTTCGCGGCGTCTTCGAACGCGCCGCGGCAGCCATGTTGGTCGTGGCCAGCAGAGGGGCCGGCACAAGGGGGTTACTGAAGCAGCTGTCACAATGTTGGGATCCCTGGTGTTGAGAACAGCGCCGGCGCCGCGGCACCTCCTCCGGCTGCTCAGGGCTCCATCGATCCAGAGCTTTGGAATTGCCTCCTGCCGGAGCGTCATCACTGGGGACCGCGGGGAGCTGCAATGGCTGAGAGCGGCCGCCGGGGGGCGCCCTGGAACATCTTTGGCCTTGCTTCCCGGACGAAGGGCAGCCACCGGGGGGCGCCAGGGAGGACGCATCGAGACCCAGTGCTTGGCTGCCGCCACGTGGGGGCGCCTTCCTAGCCTCGAAGAAATAATCCCAGGACATGACAACTGGAATGGGTTCCCCAGCAGGGCTGGACTAGGCATGTGGGCCCTGGCCACGGCGCTGGTCGTTAATTGCTACAGCAAGAATCCGTCCAACAAGGGTGATTATGGGGCCAGTCTGGGTTTAAGGGGGGAAGAGGCGGGAGGAGTGACCCGACTCCGCATCTTTGAAGGAAGTGGGGATGCTTGTGAATTTAGACCTGCATAACCTTAGTCTTGGAAAAACTAGACATGCGGTTCCATGGATAGGGTGTTGCACTGAAGAGCTAACCTAGTTGTATACTCTCGCGTCGTAAGTCAGTCTGTTTGGGTTTCACCTTTTCTACTGTACAGTGAGAGTATTGGACGAAACATGTAATTACAGCATGATCCTTTTCTGTTCTGATATGCTGCCTGGTTTTTCTTTTTTCAAGAGGTCTTCAGTAAGCCGCAGGTGATTTTAATGGCGTAGAGAACTTGCCTACCTACAATGGCCTCAGGAAGACTTGGTTCCAGTGCCAGTTTGACCCCTTGCTTTTCTGGCCTCAATTTCCCCACTTTACTGCAGGCTGAGGAGTGATTTCTCAGTATTCTTACGATACTGTTGTTTGGACCCCTCTTTATAGTTCAGTGGCCTAAGTCTGTCTGTCTCCCAGAGTTTTGCTGTGTCTGGTCTCAGGCTTGAGATGATCTCGCCCTTTGAAGCAATTGGCAAAAGGAAGTTGGATCCCTGGAGACCCAGAGCAGTGCTGGCAGGAGGAGTGGCTGACCCAGACTGGCCTCTCAGCTGGGTGCAAGAAGCGGAGCTGAATCCAGAGAGTGAGCAGAGATCCAGACTTGTGTGGCCTGTGTGAGTCCAAGCACTTAGGTTCCCAGTTATTCTTAAGGACCTTGCTGAAGCGTGGTGTCCATGGATTCCGCGTGTCCCAGCCTCTGTGACTTTGGAGCTTGGACTGCCTTGACTTTTATTTATTCATTCAACAGGATGGGGCTTTGAACAGTGAATGAGGACACTGAGGATCTTGGTTTGGTTCTGTGTTTAACTCTTTTTTTTTTTTGGTTTTTCTCCGGAACCGGGAACCGAACTCACGACCTTGCGCTTGCAAGGCAGGCGCTTTGCCGCTGAGCTAAATCCCCAGCCCCCTCTGTGTTTAACTCTTGTTGTGAATTTCAACTCTCGCTGTTCCTTAGTGGTCCTATTCCCTCTCTGCAAAATGAGGGCACTGAAATAGACTCTGAGGTCTCTAATGGCATGTGCGTGCCACCATTCTGTAATTTTCAGCTGTATTTTGGATACTTTCTGTGTTCCTAGTTTCCAAGTAGGTTTTTGGGATTCCTGACTTAACACAAAGTCTGTCGAGGGGACAGCGCAGGCAGTTAGGCATGCAGGGCTGGTGAGTGCGCTGTGTGTTGTGGGAAGGTTAGAGGGCCAGCAAGGTCAGGAAAGCCTGCCTTGAGGATTGGAGACCCTGGAAGGACAAGGCAAGGGATGAAAAGGATAGTGCGGTTGTGAACCCTGTGGGAGCAGGGAGTGCATCTTTTTTTTTCCAACTTAGTAGGGACTTAGGAAATAGAGGTAAATTGTGGTCCATACGGCGCCTTGGGTCAGCCTAGTGTGTGTAAGAGCTAGCGCAGTGGTCAGTGTGGGTGGAGAGGAGAGCAGGTGGAACAGGGCTGCGTGCCAGGCAGGAGGGTTTAGAAACTTTCTTCTGTAGGCAGTGGGGAGTCACGAAAGGTTCATGAGTAGCAAATGTCCTGAGGCCATGTATGTGCATGCGTTGGGGAAAGGTGTCCCAAGTCTTGCCTAAGGTTCCTGGGGCCTCCAAGCTGGGCTTTTTTTGCAGCACGTGAATTTTGTTAAGAAGAGTAGGGCATATTTACCAAAAGAGACAGTGACCAAAGCCATGACTAGTTCTAACCCTCTGACTTCAAGCTAACCTGTGCCCTGACTTGACGCTTCAGGAGCCAGGAGGCCCCAGTTTAATCTCAGCTCATTCCTCACTCCGGGACCTTCAGCAGCCCCTGTTACCTGCAGTGCCGGGGAACGAGTCAAGCTTTCTGTGAGGAAGGGCGGTCCCTTTGCAGCTGGAGGCTGTGTGAGAATATTTGCTGAGAGAGCAGTTGGTAAAGCAGTGGAGAAGGCCTGGCCATGGGATCCAACAGGAGGCAGAGTGGAGGCACCCAGGTCTGAACAATGAACTGGTTTTCATTTGCATAAGGTGGTGTCTTATCCCTATGGTGCAGATAGGGAAACTGAGGCTTGGGAGGCTAGGTCATATAGCAAGTAAGTTCAGTGTGGTGTTGGGACTGCTGGTCCCTGGCGCCAGTGCCTTCCCTCATGTCTCACTGCGTGAGTCTTGTAGCTGGACTGAGAGCTCCCCGGGGCCAGGCTGGGGAGCAGTCAGCCCAGTGCCCAACAGTGTAGCTCAGAACCACGCTGAACACACAGGACACCGTAGTTACTTGGTATTCAGCTAACTATGAAAGAATTGTGCTCCTGCTGTTGACTTTTGAGTTTTTCCAAATCAGGCAGTTTTTCTTTGTGGCCACAAGGTGGTGCCACCAGACCAGCTGTGTGGGCCAGAAAAGCCAGAGTGCTGATTTTCTGCTAGGCCTAGTAATTCCTCTGCTGTGGGTCTCAGTGCTTGGGCCTGGGGAATTTGCAGATTTTTCAGCCATCATTTCATCTCTTCAGCATTCTTGTTAGACGGGCAGAGCAAGGACTGTTGTCTCCGCTTGATAGTCGGGGAAGTGGCGGTTGAGCAGGAAAGGGGCCGCCACAGTCACGTGGTGCATGGCGGCAGATGAGTTGGAGCCAGGCGGGTCTTGACTCCTGGTTGAAGCTGGCGCTATTCTTAGAGAGGGATGCATTGCTGCCTACCACTCTCTATCCTTTCCTTCCCTTTGAATTTGTGACCTGTGACATCAGGATGGAAAACCAGGCTAAAGAAGTAGAATCGGAGAGAGCGGGACCAGGTCAGGGAATGGTTGATAGTTAAGATAAAACATGCCCAGAGCTCTGAAGCTTATCTGTCAGGAAGTGCACAGTGGGTGTTCACACCACGGCTGAGGTGAGGCACTAGTACTTCTCCTGCATCCCTGGGTTCTGTTAGAGAAAGGATAGAAGTCAGGTTGTTAACGGTGGATACCACACGGGGAGGGGACGGTCAGCCTTCTTGTGACGTTGGTTCCCTTGTGAAAGCCCGTGTTTCTGAAGTACTTCCACCGCTTAGTGGGCCCTGCGAGCAGCCCTGAGGGATCGGTCCCGGCCAGGGATCTGACCAGTGCCCCTCTCTCTCCAGATGCAGCCCTGATGGAAGCTGCCCGCACCAACAATGTACAGGAACTGAACAGGTGAGTGCTGACCCCCAGGTCTCGCTCTCCCCCCAGGCGGGCTGAGCAGATGAGCTCTTTCCTGCTGCGGTGACTGCCTTGGAGGACTGAACTGAGAAATGTCCCCTGGGAATTCTCTGCAGGCACATCACCTGGGTTCCCTTGGCCCACGTCAGCCTTTACTTATCTCAGATAGGGAGACAGCCCCAGACACCCCTGGATCTTCAGCTGGGAAGGTTTGGAATCCTTTCTGAACCTTGTGGTTCTCCTCTGAATCTTCCTGTTGTTCTCTCTGGAAGTGGCCATGTTACTGCTTGCTGTGTGGACCCGATGTAGATGGGCACCAGGGGGAGGCTGAGAGACACAAGAGGGTGCTGGGAGAGAGTCTGTCGGTGCCCTGGGGCTGGAGAGGCCTGTCTGCAGGCTGGGCACCCACGCTGGGCCCCCTGGCGGGGACAGACTATTTTACAGCCTCATAGGCTCAACTGGTTCCACAGACCACTGTGGTAGGATTTCAGGCTTTTTCTTAAGCAGGGGCAGGACTGAGCCTGGTGCCAGGGAGAGTCTGGCCAGGATGGATGCTGAGACCAGACCAGCATAGAGTATCAGCCAAGCGCTTTTGATTAGAGAAATTTTAGACCTCTCTCTGGGCCTCCCTTGGCCCCTTCACTAGACCTAGGTGGCTATAAAACAGCCCCATCCCCCATCACACCCACATTTTAGACAGGAAGTCTGGTGTTTGGGGTACCACGAATCCTTAGGGCTCTTCCCCACTCCAGCTGCCTAAACATGCAGGAAAGTGGCAGCCACAGCCCTACCAAGACTTACTGCTTTGATTCCCTTTCATTTTATCTGCAGCATTATTATTGATTCTCAAGGGTGCTTTTGAGTATTAATGTTCGAGGCTTAGTTTTTAATAAACCACTTTTGGAAGTATGGGCTGGGAGTTGTTTTGTAGCCAAATAAATATGATGGAGCAATAGTTTAATAAACATGCAATGATGCATCTTAAAAAACCAAGCACAGATGTCATCTCATTGTTATAAGAGCCATTCATAACTGCAGGCTGTGTGTGGCATCTTCATTGCCCCAGAAACAGATGAGCCTCTCCTCGTTCTGTGTATTACTGAGAGCGACGGGGCAGGAACTGGGCCTTGCTGACCCTGAGCTCACCTGTTGCTGCCTGCTAGGCTGTTAGCACAGCGTAGGCAATGTGTTTACAGAGCAGCACCTTTCCATCCTTAGGGGAGGCTGACTCTGCCCTAGGTCATTGAGTCCCCACGTGTTATTTTAATACACATTTTTCTAATGGTAACTAAACACTTGCCCAAAGAATAGAGAAGTATATATGTGACCCAAGAAAATCATAGTGATCCCTCATTCTCGCTGGCGTGGATGGTGTCTGTGGCCACTTTCTGTGTGTGACTTGAGTCTCCAGGCTGCTTTTCTCCTCCCTCCTCTGCCTTGGTCATTATGGCTCCCTTACTCCATCCAAGAAAAGGGATCCTTCACGGAATCCAAGATGAGCGAAGCGCAGTGTCTTCCCTCAGCCCCATCTCGTGCAGAGCCACAGCACAAGGACACACTGAGCACAGGGGGGATGGCGAGGCCGGCTGGCTGGGGAGCGAGCTGATGCTGCTGAGGCAGAACCTGTGCAGGGTGTGGGGAAGGAGGGGCGGTGACCCTAGAGGAACTGGGGTGTGCATGGCCCGGCAGGGTGAGGGCTGCGGACTCCTAAGCAGTGGGGAGAGGTGGGAGGTTTATGAGCAGGGGAATGACGTGGTTAGGGCTGCCTGTCAGAGGAGCGCAGGATGAACTGAATGGGGAAAAGGCACATCCATTGACTTTCAGTAAGACAGATTCAAGGTGAGGAAGGCCTGACTTGGGTGTCCTTCCCTCCTTCCCACCCGAGGCAGTTGTTGCCTGTGAGTGAATGGGGCTCTGCTGGGCAATGAGACGGTGTGGTATGTGGGACGGTAGAGAATGACCCCAGGCTCAGGTTGCAAGGAAACAGATCTGTACCCCACCAGTCCCAGTCCTTCCTGCTTACAGAGCCAGGCCTGCGGGCAGGGGGCGGGGAGACTGTGCTCCCCAGAAGGAGAGTCTGGAGTTTTATCAGCCCAAGTGTCTGTGCACGTACGTGTACTTTGTGCTGCTCTTTATTTCTTCCTGTGCGTGTCCTGGCTCTCAGCTCTGCCCATTAGACCAGCCTATAGCAGACTAGAATCCCATTGTCAATTAAAAAAATATTGCACAGTTTACAAAGGGTTTTCTGGTCGGTGATACTCATTTCTGGAACAAAACTCAAACGTGCTGAATAATACTGTGCTTGTGGCTCTGTGTTGTGCGTGGCGCTGCTTTGAGCTCACCCCAACACCTGTCTCCTGCCCTGGGCCTCAAGGGAACTCTGAATAGGGAAAGATGGGAGCCTGAGGCTCTTCTGGGGAATTGCTCCGTCTTGTGTCTAGGACATCCTCAGTCCACAGAGGCAGAGCCGTGGATGCAGACCCTCCACACAGGCTACCTCTATGCTTCGCGCTCATCGCCCTCTGCCTGCTAGGCTCTGCGCAGGTGCCGCCTCTCTATAAAACCTTCCTTGATCCCTCCCTGCTGGGTGTGATCTCCCCCTCCCTTCTAGTCTGGCAGGGTATGAGGGTCCTCTAGGAAGGGCCGTGCCAGCCCTGCAGGAGGAAAGAGATCTTCTGGAAGAGAAGTTGGAGGTGAGCTTGGAGAAGAAGGGCTCAAATGTCAGGACTGAGGAGGCAGCCAGGCCCACAGGGAAACCCAGGATGGTCACATGCTGAAACAATCCGGAATGAATCTGGCGTGCCCATGGAGTGTGAGACCATCAAGCCAGCGGCTTGGACATCAGTCCTGATGTGGGCACTGTGGGCTGGCTTTCTGTGGACCTGGCTGAGTGTGTGGGGGCAGGTTGCCTGACTGAAAGGGCAGGGTCTGTCACTCCCCACACTCTACATTTCACCTTGAATGACCAGACTGTGTGCCTCTCCAGGGTCTTGCGCCCTCTCTTACTTCATTCCCCAGCTCAGTGGGACATGCTTGCTCTACCGACTTCAGCATGCCTCAAGTGGGCAGTCCGGAGTCTTAGTTCCATATTTCGCCTGGCTGCATCACAGAGGCCTGGGTCTCTCTGTGCTTCTTTCCTCCCTCCCTATGTGGTCATTTCCTCCCTTCTGAGACACTTAACCCTTCAGAGCTCATCCAGCCCTGGCTCTTCAGAAGTGGAAGCCTGGCCTGTGTCCTGCCTGTTGGCAGCATGAGGAGGTGGCCCCGCTCCTCAGCTCAGCCCACGCTGGCGCCTCAGGAACCACTCACCTGAGACGGAGGGCACAGGGTGACTGAGCACATCTGTCCCTGTTCAGGCTGAGGCAGGTGAGGCCGAGCAGGATGGGAAAAGTGAGGCCTCCTGTTCTCCCGTGGAGATCACATTTCCTTCACATCAGACCTGTGAAAGATGACACTTCTGCCCATCTTCCCCTCCCCGCAGGGAGCTGGGCCTCTGCTAAGTGTCCAGCTCAGTCATTCATCAACCCAAACAGTCTTTAATGAAGGAAACCTAGTGGTATCAGTCTCAGACCTCTGCTGTCTGCCCTTTCTCTCCAGGATTCGTTTACTTGTCAAACATTCTCTGAGCACCCACCATGTGCCGCGTCTTCTCCTTGGCATGTAGGACACCTGAGCGGGCATGATCCTTGCCCTGGATGACGGTCTGGGTAGTCTGTGGCAACACTATGATGGATGTTGGAGACAGGGGGGTGCTGTAGGAGCCCAAAAGATGCCCCTACCCAGCCAGGAGGATCAGGAAAATGATCCCTAGAATCCCCAAGGAAATAGCACCGATCAGAGGCTTAAAATATAGGCAGGGCTCAACAATAGGGCAGGAAGACATTCTAGGCAAAAGGAATGTATGAGTGATAGCACCAGGGCAAGGAGCAGCCCAGAAGGTGTGAGAGGAGGGAAATCATATGTTGTTTGTGTCTCTGGGTGAGAATCTGAGGCCAGAGGGCCTGGAGATGGATAAGGAGCTTGTCTTAGAGAGTACTGATCAACTGTCCTTCAGTTGCCCAAATTTCCAGCCTGTTCTCCGTGCCTGGCCCTGAGGTGAATTTGGGGGAGGAGCACAGCAACATAGTGCGCAAGAAGAACCAGTTCTGCCCTAGAGGAGCTCATGGCTCCTTTGGCCAGGAAGGAGGGCATGAGTCAAAAATTGAGACCCGGTCTAATTTGTCCTAGTAATATGGATTTGATGGTACTTACAACTCATGAAGTGTGGAGTTATTGTTACTAATTATTCATTCACCCAGTGTTAATGAGTGCTCATTAAGAGCTAGGCAGTGGCTGAGTACTTAAGATACAGGAGTGAACAAGACTGGCATAGTCCCTGCCCTTTGGTATTTATGGTCTAAGTGGGAGCCAGATGAGTATTTATGGAAGTATAATTATGTACTTTGGAAGTGCAGTCCGTCTTTTCAGCAGATGGTGCTGGGAGAAGTGCGTAGTCACATCAAAAGACCACACTTGGACCCTTACCTAACACCATATAGAAAAATTAACCCAAAATGGCTCATGGACCTAAATGTAAGTACTGACACAATAAAACTCGTAGAAGAAAACGTAGAAGTAGAACTTTGTTAGTTGGGGTTGGGCAATGCCTTCTGAGATACGGCACCAAAAGCACACAGCACCAAAAGAGAATATTGTGCAAATCATGTATCTGATAAGGGACTTTTATCCAAAATATATAAACAACTGTTACATACTCTACAGTTCTACAGTAGAAAAGGTGATCTAACTATAAAATGGACAAAGGGTCTGAGTAGACATTTCTCCAAGGAGGATGTGCAAATGACCAGTAAGCCCTTAACAAGATGCTCAACATCATTATTCAGGAAACTGCAGATCAAAACTACAGTGAAATACAGCTCCAAATTCATTGGGACGGTGAAGAGACAGAGACGAGCAAGTCTCGGTGAGGATATGGAGCAATAGGAAGCCTCAGA